GACTCTTCCAGGCTGCCCCGCAGCTACCGCACCCACTGCCTCGCCAGGCATCAGCATGGCCTGCGTGCTTTGGGCTTGGGAGAAAGCAACGACCCCCCTGCAAAAAGTTGACCACTTTTCGGGGGTTTAGTGGAAAACACCTTTATTTCAACCGAAAAGTAAAGTTTAACTTTTGGGGGGGTTTAGTGGAAAACACATGTATTTCAACCAAAAAGTCAAGTTTAACTTTTGGGGGGTTTAGTGGAAAACACCTTTATTTCAACCAAAAAGTCAAGTTTAACTTTTTGGGGGTTTAGTGGAAAACACCTTTATGTCAACCAGAAAGTAAAGTTTAACTTTTTTTGGGGTTTAGTGGAAAACACCTTTATTTCAACCAAACAGTAAAGTTTAACGTTTTGGGGTTTAGTGGAAAACACCTTTATGTCAACCAAAAAGTAAAGTTTAACTTTTGGGGGGTTTGGTGGAAAACACCTTTATGTCAACCAAAAAGTAAAGTTTAACTTGTTGGGGGTTTAGTGGAAAACACCTTTATGTCAACCAAAAAGTAAAGTTTAACTTTTTGGGGGTTTAGTGGAAAACACCTTTATTTCAACCAGAAAGTAAAGTTTAACTTGTTGGGGGTTTAGTGGAAAACACCTTTATGCCAACCAAACAGTAAAGTTTAACGTTTTTTGGGGGTTTAGTGGAAAACACCTTTATGTCAACCAAAAAGTAAAGTTTAACTTTTGGGGGGTTTAGTGGAAAACACCTTTATGTCAACCAAAAAGTAAAGTTTAACTTTTTGGGGGTCAGTGGAAAACACCTTTATGTCAACCAAAAAGTCAAGTTTAACTTTTTGGGGGTTTGGTGGAAAACACATTTATGTCAACCAAAAAGTAAAGTTTAACTTGTTGGGGGTTTAGTGGAAAACACCTTTATTTCAAGCAAAAAGTCAAGTTTAACTTGTTGGGGGTTTAGTGGAAAACACCTTTATTTCAACCAAAAAGTAAAGTTTAACTTTTGGGGGGTTTAGTGGAAAACACCTTTATGTCAACCAAAAAGTAAAGTTTAACTTTTGGGGGGTTTAGTGGAAAACACCTTTATTTCAACCAAACAGTAAAGTTTATGTTTTGGGGGGTGTAGTGGAAAACACCTTTATTTCAACCAAAAAGTTAAAGTCTCAAGATCCAACCCAATAGCAGCCAAGCAACAGCAACAACGAGAACCCTTCGGGAACAGTGCAGAACACCATCTGCTCCATGGAAATTCCCGAGCCTTCTGAAACCGCAATTTTTCCGATCGAACCTCCCGCAACCGTCTAGATCCCGAAACCCGACCAAGCTATCAGCTGCTCCCCATTGGGGAGCTAAATAAAGCCACTCAGCTGTCCGGGTCCTAGACGGGAACACTTCTATCTCTCAGGGTACCGGGAAGATCAATTTGTTGAAGGGACCAATATCCTATCAGGCTCCATGTGGGTGGCAGATTTGGTCAGCTGTTACTATCTGCCAACATACCCTTTGTCACCAATCTGTTGTGCCATCCCTCTGGTTGAAAAGCAGCACAAAGGAAACCAGGCTCCTCCCAGGAGAAGGATTCACCACAAATCCCCATCCACAGAGCTAGCAGCTAGGGAGTCGGCGCTGCTTCTGACAGGAATCCCCAAGGCGGTGCAACTTGCGGCTGGCCGAATTCATGCAAGTTTCTTGTTTTCTTTGAGGGCATCCTTTGTTGGATGACTTTGAAGGGACGCTACCATGACACCAACCACCAGGGCTACCAAAATTAGCAGCCCTGTTAGTGGCAAGGGTGCCCCTTGCAACCCATTCTGCAATATATCCAAAATTCAAACAAGGGATCCTCCAAGCAACAGTATATCATAGTATACATCATATGTGTACGAATGTGTCGATACATACGTGCATATATACATAAAACTCTTCATTATAGATACAAGGTCCTCTAGTAGAGAGGTTAGAATAAGGGTACCAACCTTTTTGCGTAACCCTCCCAACCAAAAAAGTTGGTCAGAAAGGGCACCTAGCTGGGGGACCTAGTAGATAGCTTCGCTTGACTCTTTATTCTAGGTAGATACCTAGACTCTCCATGACCCGTTCAAAATGGGCCCATGACCCCATTATTTTGGGTAATGACCAACCATTTTTTAAGGGTCATGGAGACTCCAGGTATGCTCGGATCTTCCTCGACTCGCCCGTCCTGCACGTACTTCAAGGCGCAGGTGTTGATCAACTCATCCAACTGCTGCAGCGTGGGGCACGGCCTCACCGGACGTCTTCCACCCGCCAGGGCGTTCGGCGGGAACGGGGAACCGCCCGAAACCGCCCGAAACCTCGATACTGGGTTTGTTTTTTGCGAGATGTTCCAAACAAACCAGTTTTTGAGAACCCAAAGAATGTTCACATATCTTTTGGGGCGGTCTAAGGGAAGAGAAGCTCTCCTTACTTGGCCACTGCATTCGCTGGTGCAAAGGGTGGGTTGGAGAATCTCAGAAGTCAGGCGAGCAGCGACCAACTCCTATTGACTGTTGTGCACAACGCTGGCAACAAGGCTTAAGATAGGCCTGATTATAACCTTTCTGAAACCAGGTAGTACACCCACCTACCAAATGGCCAATGAGGGTTGTGGGCGCCGCTCAGGTGTTTTGTTTGGCAACAACTGCAACCGTCTAGATCTTATACACAGTCCTTTCAGTCTCAGTTCCCCTACCATAGTGATGGTGTCTCCTTTGTCACAAGGAGAATTCAAATCCTTACTATCACAAACATCGGCCACCTAAAAGCCCACCCCTTTCCCCCAGTCAACTAAGGCATACAGGGTTTACCAATTGACATCGTTTTTTCAGGGCAATGCCCCTAGAAGTGAAGCCATCAATATCGAGGTCCCTTCATTCAGCATGGACTTGGCGGAACAGGTTCACTGGGGCACATCGGACTTTAGACTTTCCGATTCTGTACGTATCATATTCGTATGTATGTTTGTCTGCTCTGCTCAGATTACACTTTATGTGGATGAATTGTTGGCAAGTGAAGAACTTTTGGACGGGACAAGCACGATACCTCGTGAAGCACTGGAAGCCGCTGCGACACAAGGAGGCACAGGCCCAGCCAAACTCCAACACCTCCAAAGCCAAGGCAAACTAACACAAAGCACAGAGAAGTGCAAATCCCACCAGGTCACCACAGACATAACAAACTCAAGTGTCGGGTCTGCAGAACCTGCAGCAAGCTGTCGACGCATTTTGGAACACGGCAAACCAAGATTGAAGCCCTTGCGCAATGAGATCAGGGACGCGACGGCAAAACACGCAAAAAGAAACAAAACGCAAGCCACAGCTGGGTAATTTTTACTAGGGCTGTTTTTTTCCTAGGGCTGGTTTTCCGCAGGGCTGGCAACATCCCCAGCATCACCAGCATCACTTGGCCCTGGGGTTGCCTATTGGCTCTGATTTAATGGCAGTTGGGAGGTGCTGGGGTCTGGTTTAAGTTAGGGGGTTTTGGCTGGCTTAGATCTTCATGAGTGCGGGTGTTGCGGTGGTTTGGGGTTGATTTTGGCGAAGCGAAGAGCTGACATCTAGGCTGCTGTTGGGCGGGTTTAGGGTTAACTTTGAGTGGGTTTGGGTTGGTTTGGAGCTGTGTTGTGTTAGGTGTGCTGCTGGTTTAGCAGCAGCTTTAGGGTTGCTTTAGGGTGTGGTTAAGTGAGTTGTGGGCGAGTTTTGGTGGTTTGGGGCAACGCCCCAAAACCGATCCGAAACGAGACCAAAACTGGCTGGTGATGCCGAAACGAGGCTGGTGATGCCAGGGATGCGGCCAACCAACATCAACCAACCAACCAACCAACCAACCAACCAACCAACCAACCAACCAACCAACCAACCAACCAACCAAACCGGGGAACCAGCCCTAGTAAAAAAACCAGCCTTAGGAAAAAACAAAAAACACCGGATCCGCCACAGCTGGCCATGGGTCAAAAGCCCGTACCCCCAGTGAACATCCCAATCCCCACTAAAATAGGTTCTAAAATGGGTGCACCTGGAATCCCACTGGTTTTGACCCACAGCCAGCTGGCAAAGACCTCCTGATCCAGCGCGGGCATGAGACGCCCTGTGTCAGTGAACTGTGGGATGCATAGGTCGTCCAGTAGAGAGGGTAGAATAAGGGTATACCAACTTTTTCTGTAGTCATTTTAGTAGGGGAACCCTCCCCCAAAAAAGTTGGGCGCCTAGCTGGGGGACTAGATTCGAGCGAATGTTGCAATTGGATGAACTGCATTGGACCACGATCAGACCCCCCCCCATCCACCCCCCCCTCCCCCCCCAACGAGCGATGCTGGGGTCATCTCCGGCCTTCTATCTTTGCAAAACGATGAAAAGAGCTGGGGTCATGAATGACGCCGGCAGCAAGAACAAACACACAAAGACACGTTCAAACACAAGCCTCACACCAGTACAAACTGAAAGCAGGCATCAGAAACACCAACAAACCACATGGCCATGGGTCAAAAGCCCGTACCCCCAGTGAACATCGCAATCCCCACTAAAATAGGTTCTACAACGGGTGGTGCACCCACCCCAAAATGGTACCATTGGTTTTGACCCACAGCCACGTTGACACCGCAACAACCTTACCATTGTGTCCAAGGCAGAGGCCCCAGGTCCATCAGTGCCAAGGCATCCTGCAGCCTGCGCCATGGGGCTGACAATGGCGGCCAAACTGGATGCGTTTTGGAATCAAAGGTGGTGCTGAGTGGTTGTTTTTTAGGCTTTTGCCTCTGAAGCTTCCCTGTAAAGGCCAGAAACGGGTCCCAAAGGCATCTTTTTTGGGCATTCACGCTTTGAACAACCCTCATGTTGACCCCAGATTCCAAAGCACGAGAATTATTATCCAATTAAGAAATTGGATTTGGATGACATGGCGCACCCTCACGGCTTCATAGTTCAGGAGGCCTGAGATGGGCTGAAGTCAAAATGGGCTTCTGAAGATAGGCTCCACAAAGGGACTTATAACATATTATTCATCTTGAAACAAAAACATATGGACCATTTGCAAAGGTGAGGTACCCTTCACTGAGTAGCCTGCCTCCTAGCATTTAGAAATATGAACCGGCACAAGTTGGACCCTGATTGATGACCACAATATGAGTTTCTTTGGGCAGAGCCCCTAGTGCAAGAATCGAATTCAAGCATACAACTGCTGTATGCGAAGAAATCATCGACGAGGCCTTCGTCTGGCTTGTCAAATGGTTGGCCTTCTCATGGCCTCCGAATGCGAGCGTATGCGTTGTTGGTTGAGGTTCGCCCTTTGAGCTTTGTTCAAGGGAATCCCCACCAAACATGTCATTTCGACTAGCCCTTGGTGTTTGTGGGGAAAGCCAAGGAGACACCACACTAGGTCCAGCAGAGAGGTTAGAATAAGGGTACCCTTTTTCTGTTCTGTCTATTTTAGCAGGGGAACCCTCCCAACCAAAAAAAAGGTGAGAAAGGGCACTACTGGGGGACCTAGCCAGATCATCTCTTGGGCTCCCGTGCTTTGAGATAACCTATGCAACCCCAGGTCCCGAGTTGCCCAGGCCTGCCGTTGTTGCGGGCCTTCGCGGCCGACTCCTGCCAAGCGCTTCGTTTGGCCATCACCCTGAACAGAAACCCAACATCCTGATGGAATATCGGTGTCTCCAATGGCTAGTAACCCTTGTTACAGGGTACTTATAGTGCAAGTGGGTTTCAACCAGCTTACTAGCCATTTGAGTCACTTGCTCAAAACCCGGTATTAAAATGGTCGTAATCCCAGACCCATGCTTCAAGAATTAAGAAGGCGGATATCCGCAGCCATTTATGGCAAGGGGATTGTCCCTTACTAACCTTGATCTACCCGGGTTTTGATTATGGCTCACATGCTGATGGAATATCGTTGCGTCCAAAGGGAACCCCCATTTTGGTTGGGTTCCTGATGGCTTCCCTTCAAAAACACCCAAAACAAGATGGACCCGAGCCTCAACACAGGCCCCTGGACAAAAATAAAGCTTTGTTTCCCCAGTTGCAAACATTCCCGGGCCCCCAATGTGTTCCCAAAACTGGCAATACCAGCCTTGGTGTCTCCTGCTGTTTTGATAAGCCACTATTTTTGTCCACATCTAACAAGGGTTCTGAAACCTTGCGGGTAGGGACATTCTAATGCGGATCGGTTCCCTAATCAAGAGTGCCACTCGGATATTCATGGGAGGTGACCAGCCAACTTCCCCGCCTTAAGATCGTTGCGGGTCTTCCGGTACATATTAATCCTTGACGCACAAACGTCCGACCCTATGCTGGGTGAAACCACGTTTCCTGCAGACCTGGTTGCAATACCAAGGGCCACCCTCACAACCACTCTACTTTAGTGAGGATACCACAACATCTCACAACCACTTTACTTTAGTGAGGATACCGGATACCTGCGTATCACAGCAATGGGCCCAAAAACCCGGTTTTCCCCGACCATGCCTGGAAACCAGGGGGCTCAAGCGTCGCGGGCTTCGTTCCTTTGGATCCACCACGCGTACCACCTGAACAAAGGAACACAGCAAATTTGGCGATTCCCTGGTGTGCACAAGAAAATGGATGATCCCAAAACTGGGTTCCAAAACCAACAACTCCAGTCCAATCATGTTTGGTTGCAAGTGCGTGCAGCTATCTGAGTCACGATCAAAGCCCAGTATTAAACGGGTCTACTCAACTCCATGCAACAAAAACAAAAACAAGGGTTCTTTTCGCACCTACGATTTACGATTGGGACTGCGCGCTACCATTCGTTACGCGAGTGTTCATCGTGGCCCCGCGCCAGGCTGGGGTTTGCTTTAAGTGGACCAAATCTGCAAATGATCAAACCCAAATCAGCTCCAAACCAGGCAGAAGTCGCGCCCTGTGGCCATGCGCCTCAAAGAAAGCAACCTACTGGGAAATCTAGCACCGACTTCCGGCCTAACCCCATGACTTACGTTCAAAGGTCGCCTAAGCGTTAGGCAAAGGATTCTGATAACCTCGAGTCAAATAATCTACAAACTTGAGGGCTAAACCTGAACTTATAGGGTGTCTGGGAAACCAACCAACCTGGTGCTTGGCACCGATTCCAATTCGTCTCCTGCGTTTCACCCAGCTCGAGGTTGAGAAGGGCGCGCTTTTTCGCCACCTGGACGCGCGTCTCAGCACCCGCGCGGGACATACGCCGCTTGAACCCGCCGCGTTGCCACTCCCAGGACGCGCGCACGGGGCTTCGCTTCAAGAGCCCATGGGTGTCTCTCACCAGGTCCAGTAGAGAGGTTAAAATAAGTTGGTACCAACTTTTTTCTGGTTTGTCTATTTTAGTAGGGGAACCCTCCCAACCCAAAAAAGGGGTGAGAAAGGGTACTACTGGGGGACCTAGTTCAAGTCCGAAAAACGAAATGAGGGATTAGCATACAAGGAGCTTTCAGCATGGGTGAGGTCGAAAATCCCCTTAAGGCGTGGTCGCTATCCAGAGCCACAGGAAC